ATCCGCGACTGTCTATTATAACTCCGGTCCCGAACACAAACTTTGGCTCGTATTTAGTCGTCTCGATGTCTGACATCCGATACGAGGTATATATGGAGACAAACGGTGCAAACCATTCATCAGTGAAGGGTTTCTTTGCGGAAACAAAATCTTCAAATAAGTGGACATTTCTTAGCATAAGATGTTGTCCGAAGCGATCGTTTTGTGCCGTTTGTGACAATTGTCTTCTTTTGTATTGAAACCAATAATTTGCGGCAATCGTTGAAAAAGACAAAACAAATACCCTTTTGGTTAACATATTATCAATTAATTTGACTTATATTTCAAATAAGTTAAACGTTTTACTGAATAAATTTCAAAGAAACATAAAATCGTTAACTGATTTACAAACAATGTAAACGATTATAAACTAAAATCAAAAACTTTACTATTTGTCACGTTATAAAAAATAATTCATTTTAATAGTTGGAAATATTTCATTAAAAACAATGATATAAAATGTCATTCAAACTAACAATTTGTGAAATAATGAACAAATAATTTTAATTTGTGTTAAACAAAAGTGAATGGCTCTGAAGTGGACGGTCCGGTCGGCAGCGGATCCACGATATCTTTTGTTGTCTTTCCCGCAATTGTTAGACTTATTTCTCGGCTCTCCATATATTGATCGACCGCTCGATACAAGTCGTCAATCTCTCGCACGTCGTGACCATTGATGGCGGTTATGATGTCATACCTCTCGAGACCAAACCTAAACACCAAATCAATGGTCACAAAAGTAATAGATAATGAGTTTAAATACAGACATTTGATAATTATCATAATCGATGAGATGCCAAATGACAATTCCGGGTCCATCGGGTATCTGATTGGAAGGGATATTGGATTTGTTTCTTAATTCATCCCTCAATTCAGCGGTCAGCCAATAGGCAATCGCACCAAACGCGGGCCTAACGCCGTGAAAGGTAGGCAATTGCATGATTAAGCCTAAGATTCAAATTAATAACCAATTTATTACTACTATAGGAAACAAAAGTTATTATCAAAATAATCAATACCTGCAAAATATCTCATTTGATAGGCAATAGTATAGCCGAGATCGACATTAATCATATTCAAACCGATCACATCGCCATCGGTGGTGACCAAAGCGCTGCCCACATCAGTGTTGGCCACTTGTGCCGTGTGGTGCGTGTAATTCAGATTATGCAACGCTGGGTCGTCGGCGCGGATATTACTGACTTCGGTGCCCTTTATGTTGGCAAAAGTGACCACACCTTCGCTGAGGCCGTTATGGAGGCCGAGCCGTGGATTGCCCACCGCTAGCACCCGATCGCACGGCTTAACCGTATTCATGTCGGCGATGGACACCACTGGCCAGTCGTGTCGATTGCCCGTCAATCTAATGAACGCCACATCGAATACAAGGCTGTGTCGCCATAATATGCCCAACACTTCCCGGCCATCGCTTAATCTGACCATATATTTGACAAATCGATTCATATTTCGTCTGTTTGTTAAAACAAATCCGCTTTCATGTACTATAAAACCAGAGCCGCATAAATAGGGCAATCCGTCGCTCGTCTGGCCATCGGTTGCGTCTAAAACGGGTCGAAATGAGACGAAAGGCTTAAACCAGTCGTCGCTAAAAGGCTTTGGCTTTGTATGGCTTGGCGTCGGTTGTATGGGTTGGGACGGAGACGGCGGCGGAGCTATTGGAGGGAAATGCATGGCAGCCCTCTTCACACAATACCAATGTCTGCGCCCATTGTCTGGCCATTGATTTGATACCAATTGTTGTCTATAATATTGAAACGACAGTCCGATGACAGGAATCACTGTCACAACTAATCCACTATTAAGACAAATAATTAGTTGAGTTTTCAATTAATTTCATATGATTTTCGCAAACCTTTTATCAAATAATGATTTGTTTCTTATTCTATGCATAATTATTACAAACTATAAGATTAAAACATAATATCTTTAACTTAAATACTTTAACCGTTAAATTGAATAATAAATTGTCTTTAAATTGTGATTTAAATTCGTTTATTTAAATGTCTAACTAATTGTTAACATTTTTCATTACTTATGAGTAGACTTAGCATAAAAGGAGGCTAAAAATGTTTTAATTGTTGTATTTTTAAAAAGTAACGAGACTAGTGTTAATTAAATACCTAACAATTAAAACCCGATTTTTATCGGGTGTTGGAAATCGGGAAGATTTTTATTGTGTTTAAACCGAATAATTACATATAAAT